GCTGTATTTGTACACCACTCGAAACAGGTCAAGCCTGTTAAAACAGCTGTTATAAAAAGATGCAAGATAATAAGTGAAGTGACGCAAGCATAAGAAAGAAGAGGGAAATGCTGTGCACTGCCGGGAGAAATTTAAATCCCTGTAGCTGGTGTACACAATAGTTGTGAAGGGGTTCGAGATATGGCTCTGCCATTAAAAACAGAGTTCAGACCCCAAGTGATAAGCCAGGCGTCTGGTGCACACCTGTGACCTCCAGCTCCAGGGGAGGTTGAGACAGGAGCATTTCTATAACTTCCCGGCTTCGAGAGCTTCGGGTTCATGGAGAGACACTGACTCAAAGAAACAGATAAAGAGTGGCAAAGGAGGGCCACAACACCCTCCTCTGAGAACTGTGCTCAAACTAAATAAGGATGTGGAATTGCATACACACACACATACACACAGATACATATTCACCTACACACATATAAAAATATATGTTATATATGATTATATATTTGAAAAAGGATGAAGGAACCTTAAAAGTTAAAAAGAGAACTGTCATAGGAATCCCACCAGGGTGTACATAGCTTAAAAAGGTGAAATCAGTGTGTTAAAGGACATTTTCACCTCCGTGTCCATTAACATCACTATCCACCACAGGCAGGACAGGAAAACGAACAAGTGTTAGTCCACTAACAAAAGAAAAAGGGAAAGAGGCCCTATGCACAGTAGAACAAAATTCAGCTCTCCAGAGGAAGGAAGCTCTGCTATTTGAATGGCATAGATTAGTATTACATTATGTGAAATAGTGGAACAGCCAGAAACACACCATCTGATCTCATTTATGTAGGAAATCTAAAGTGTTGATCTCAGAGAGAAGAAACAGTTCACAGCATTCATGTTTGGTCATGCTGATTACAGCTTACATTTTAGTTAAAAATTGCTGAGAACATAGACTTTGTTTCTCAGTACCACCTCCCACCCCCACACTGAGATTCTACATAATGCTAATTTACTTTGTGTAGTTAATTTACTCTGTTTTAGGTTTCAAAACATAATTCCAAATATGTTAAACATTTAATAGTTTAACTTGTCAATTAAAAACAAGGATAAACAATTAAAAAACAGGATAATAAGACAAAGAGATTGGATAAAACCTTATATAGTTATGTTTCTAACATAACAGAACAAAGACAAGATATGATTAACCAGAAAACAAACAAATAAAAATTTTCAAAAGGTTCATCATAATCTTCATTTTGCTTTTTAGTGTTCAGTGATATCTTTCCCACTGAATTGCTTAGGGATAAAAATTAGTATGCTCCCTGACTCCACTCCTTCCCATCAATTACTGAGCCCATCAGTATACAGAGTGGTTGCCAGTCTACATAGATGATTCCTGGATGGTTTAAGGATAAACCCGTTTGTCTTTGTACATTCTGTTTTGATTTATTCTAATTACAAATGGTCCTTCTTTTCATCTGTTTCCACAAGAGTTTCAATTGTAACAAAGTACAGCAAGGAGATAAGTTTACAAATGTTGTATACCAAAGAAAAACACCTTTAAAACATTTCACTGGGCTTACTTTGGCTGTGTGAGCAAGAAATGAAAACAAGGTCAATAAATGAATGAGAAGCATTTTCCTGAATGTTTTCTCATTTATAGTACTTTGAAAATAAACCAAGCATGTACAAACAAATTTTATGAGTCATTATTATAATAAGTTTGAAAAGAAAGGGTATCTATATACAGTGTGTCTTCCTAGAAATATATGAACAAGTGTCTGTGCATCACAGACAGGGTACCAGTGATAGACCAAGGAAGAATCCACCCATATCTAGCTTGATAAACCAATGAAGTTCTGATAGTCACTTCCAGGAGTGTAGGTAAGAAACTAAGGATGGCAGCAAGAGAGGCTGAAAGGGGGTACTGAGGTACTGAAAACCCTTCCCACCATGGGGTTGGGGGGACAACTAATGAAAGCACATGCTCAGTTTCTAGAGTTATTGGGGAATCCAGGCAGCTTCAGCTAATGGTCTCTTCTCTCCCTACAATTACTCCCTCTAAAGTAACCTTGCAGATAGCTGTGCAATTTGTGTGAGTCTCAACAGGACCCTGAGATTCATGAGCTTTTTGAATAATGGTCTGAGCAGCTTCTCACTCTGCAGCTGGCCTGGAAACTCTCTACATAACCCAGGCTGTCTTGAATTCCTGATGGTCCTACTTCACTGGTTGCTCACCAAAGTCATAGGTGTAAGCTTCCTGGCAAACTTCCTGTATCTCGTGAACCTTCCTCCTCCTGTCTAGGAGGTTGTTTCAGTTTGGAGAAAGCAGCTATATAACACAGAAAACAAGTTCAATAAATGAATTTCATTAAAACATTTCTCTTTGAGAGAGATTCAAGGAAATGCTGGTTTTTAATATTTCTAATGTTATAACACAATCAATGGAATTAGGCAAACCAGGAAATATTCAGACATGAGAATTTCTAACTTCTATGGACATGGTTGAGCAAAAACATGGTTGATTCCTTGTTGTATGGTTTAGCATCTTTTATATATATATGCCCAGGAGTGATATAGCTGGATCTTAAAGTAGCACTATTCCTAATATTCTGAGAAAGCGCCAGATCGATTTCCAAAGTGGTTGTACAAGTTTAGACTCCTATCATCAATGGAGGAAGGTTCCTCTTTCTTCACATCCTCTCCAATATGTGTTGTCACTTGAATTTTTTATCTTAGCCACTCTGATGGGTGTGAGGTGGAATCTCAGGGTGTTTTGGTTTGTATTTCCTGAATAACTAGGTATCTTGAACATTTCTTTGTTTCTATGCCATTTAATATTCCTTTGTTGAGAATTCTGTTAAGCTCTGGACCCCATTTTTCAATTGGATTACTTGCTTTCTTGTTGTTTAACTTTTTGAGTTCTTTATATAGTCTTGATATTAGCCTTCTGTCAGATGCAGGGTTAGTGAAGATCTTTTTGTCATTTTGTTCTGATGACAATGTCCTTTGCTTTACAAAATCTTTTTAGTTTCATGAGGTCTCATTTAATGATTGTTGATCTTAGAACCTGTGCTGTTGGTGTCATGTTCAGAAATTGTCTCCTGTGCCAATGAGTTCTAGGTTCTTCCCCACTTTTTCTTCTAACAGGTTTAGTGTATCTGGTTTTATTTTGAGGTCTTTGATCCACTTGGACTTTACTTTTGTGCAGGGTGCAGCATTATTCATAACAGCCAGAATCTGGAAACAACCTAGATGTCCCTCAACCATACAATGATTGCAGAAATTGTGCTACTTTTACTAAATGGAATACTACTCAGCAATTAAAAACAATGAAATCATGAAATTTGCAGGCAAATGGTGGGAACTAGAAAAGATCATCCTGAGTGAGGTAACCCAGAAACAGAAAAACACAAATGGTATATGCTCACTTATAAGTGGATATTAGCCACATAATATAGGATAAACATACTAAAATTTGTAGTCTTAAAGAAGCTAAACAACAAGGAGGACCCTAGGGAAGAAGCTGAAACCTCATGTAGAAGGGCAAAAAGGACAGATATCAGAAGTAGAAGACAATGAACAGGACAGGAGCCTTCCACAGGGGGGCCTCTGAAAGACTCTACCCATCAGGGTATGGAAGGAAATACTGAGACTCATAACCATCTTCTGGGAAGAGTTCAGAAAACCTTATGGAATAAGAGGGAGATAGAAAGACCTGAGAGGAATGGAACTACACAGGAGACCAACAGAGCCAAAATTTCTGGACCCAGGGGTCCTGCAGAGACAGATACGCCAACTAAGGACCATGCATGGAGAGAACCTAGACTCACTGCTCAGTTTCCAAGTGAGTTCCCTAGTAAGGGGGGCAAGGACTGCCTCTGACATGAACTCAGTGGCTGGCTCTTTGATCACCTTCCTCTGGGGGATGTAGCCTGGCAAGGGCACAGAGGAAGATGATGCAGCCAGCCCTGATGAGACTTGATAGGGGAGGTCCTCCCCTATCAGTGGATTAGGGAAGAGGCATAGAGGAAGAAGAGGGTGGGTGGGTGAGACTGGGAGGAGATGGAAGTGGCTATGGCCAGAATACAAAGTGAATAAATTGTAATAAATAAATAAACAAACAAAAAAACAACTATAATAAACTGTAGAAAAAATAACTTCTAGCATTTTAAACACATACTTCTTTAATGTTTGTGACTCCAGTTAAATAAAATGTTAATAATAACGCCACTCACATAGTTCCACTGAGAGATTTAAATGAGAATTAAATATACATAAATATAATAAAAATGATCACATAAAATGATTCTATATACTCTACTTTATATATGAAATATATTTATATATAAGAAATATATTTCATTTCAATACAATCATTCTTCTTAATATCAATTATCCACCTTAAATATGACTCTTCTGCATTTTGCTATATGTATTCCACTAATTGTTTTTGTTATCCTTTCTATTGGCGATGCCTTGGCTTCTTATTAACAAGGACAGTTACCTATGGGAGCTTTCTACTTTCTGGTCTTTATTTGCAGTATCACATCTTCTGTTATTTTCATATATTGATCTTGTTTTCCAAGTCCTAGTAGATCACTGTCAGTTTGTTCTTCATATGATCTGTTCAGTTCGAGGCAGTAGTGGATCCATTTGTTATCTTCATACTCTTCATCTTGCCCTTATTTCTGTCAATGTCTTTATATAGTGCCTTGTCAATTCTCACTATTGTATTTCTAAGTCATATTCATTGTCTATACTTCCAGGACCCATAGTTCTACAGGTTATTGACAAAAGCATGCATCATCTAAAACTACTCTTGCTACATAGTTTTCCCTTCCTAGACTTTGCACATTTCTTCATTTTTATTATGATACATGGGTTTCCCCCCTTGTCCTCCTGCTTTTCAACTTAACTTTGAATGAAGTTTGACATTTCGTATCACAATAAAACATCACAAAGAGCCAAGTGAAACGATAATAATAAATAAAGGTCTCTGATTCTTTCCTTACCTCTCATTTCCCGGTGCAATATCAGCTCCAAGGTGTACCCATGATTTCTTAGGATAAGCACTGTGGAGGTGAAGTTTCCCATAAACTCCTAAAAATTAAAGAAACAACAAATGGATTAAACAATTAAAACAATGAAGATTGAAAATTCTTCCATCTTAATTAAGGCCAGATAAGTGAAACATGATTCAAAGGGTTTTACACAAAATACGTGACATCTAATCCATATCTAAGAGTGTCTTTCTTATCTTTTTAAAAAAGAATATTTCTATTATAACAAATAAAATATAATTCAAAGACCTACAGAGCTACAACATATAACAGCAATGAGAAACAGGCCATCTAATGGCATGGCTAACCAGCTCAACTCAAGGACGCATGTCCTTCTGCTATCTTAATGACTTCATAGCTTTTGTGACCTGCTGGAAGTCAACCCAGTTTTGATTTCATGATATACACTACATTTCCCAAATGGCAAGGCTTGTCTGTTTCCTGAAGATGGGATCTCAGTGCTAATGTCTTTGCTTTCAGTGCTAAGATTTAATATTTTGCCTTACTATAGGTAATCAAGGAAACATGAACATACACTCTGTTTTAACTTGGACTCACAAGCAGGGGCAGCCAGCCTGCATGTATCTCTTCTGTTTGTTTGGTTTTTTTTGAAATTTCCTCAGAAGTATTTTATCACCATTTTCAACCATAGTAAGTGTAACTTCTCTTAGCTTAGTGATCAAAAACTGTGACCATGCATTTCAATTGTAGAAAGAAAGTAAGCATGTAATTCGATATGTGTATTTATTTCATGTAGATAATATTTTGATGAATAATGTATCTATAAATATGTACATCTGACTAGAACGGATTATGTGAATAGCCCTACATAAATGGAAACTTTTTGTTGCAAGCCATTAATTTAACAACCTAAATAGTCATAATACTCTGTTTTTTTTTTTAAAAAAAAAAAAAAACTTGAAGCAAAAAAGTAAACACCATTGAGATATCGACAATGTGCCTTGGATTTGAATCCAGTGTGGACCAAAACAATATGAAACCTTAATTAAGTTTTTCCAATATCTGTAATCTCTTTTATAATTCAGAAAGACATTTTAGAAGATAAAATAAGGTAAAGATTAATAGATGTAGAATGAAACTTACTATCAGAACACAACCTAGAATCAATTCCTCATAATAGAGGTTTATGAATATATGTCACAAAATTGCAAACCACAAAACTAAATTCATCTTTTTTTCATCATAGGTTAAGTACCTAAGCATACAGGATCCTGGAGTGACTTATAGATTTCCGACAACGTTTGTTAAAAAAAAAAAAAAAAACCTCACATCTCTAAAATCTGAATTATCCAGAAAATTCAATTAACCAGAAAAGCAGATTTCTTGGTTATTTCCATTATCAAAGCTTAACTGTAAAATGATACCATTTCTTAGTTGTTTCAAGAAGGTAATAAACTACTTAAAATAATTAAAGCCTGCCATTTGATTATGATGTCATAGAAGCTAACTATGCTGTGACTTGGGTAAGTTTTATTTCAAGTAATATCAGTAAAAAAAAAAAAAACTGTAAAAATATTAGTAATGGGAACAGGGACTGCTTCTGACATGAACTGATTAGCCTGCTCTTTGATCACCTCCCCCTGAGCGGGGAACAGCCTTACCAGGCCACAGAGGAAGACAATGCAGCCACTCCTGATGAGACCTAACAGACTAGGATCAGAAGGAAGAAAAAGAAACGCTCCCCTACCAGTGGACTTGGGGAAGGGGTGTTTGGAGAAGAGGGAAGAAGAGAGGGATTGGGAGGGGAGGAGGGAGGGAACTAGAGGGGGGATACAAAGTAAATAAAGTATAATTAAAAATAAAAAAGAATAAAAGAATTGGAAAGAATATATGTATTAGTTGAAGCATGTGACTAGGGCCAGGATTAGCATGCCCAGTAGTATGGAATCCCATCTGAAGGTTTCAACCAATGTGATTACTCCACATTAAAAAAAAAAATGAATCAATTCAAATGTTCCTAGTATAGTCCTTCTGTTTTTGTCAACCGTGAAAAGTTAAAATTCTTCTACTCATGTCATGGTAATGATAAAATGAACAGAATTCATAGGAAAAAAACTTTGAAATCATAAAGCATTTCAACATATTATGCAGAAATTATTAGGTATTTTGGAAATAAGTTAACAGTCCCCACAGCATCTGAATATTTATCCCATAATGTTCATAAACCTCACACGTATGCACAGATAGCTAGGTATGTAGACAGATGAATGAATGATAGATAGATAGATAGATAGATAGATAGATAGATAGATAGATAGATATTGCATCTGACTTTAAAACATCCAACACAACTGCTCAACTAAAGCTAAATCCAATAAAATCACTATTGTGGCTCATACAGTAATATACATATCTAAGGTATATAAAAACATAATTCTGAAAAACAGTAAAGGACCCTGATCTGACCCATTTCAACTCTCTTCCCATAAGGAAGAGAAATAAATGAGTTACATTAGGGACCTACTTTTGAAATGGATAAACGTTTTTAAAGGAAGTAAGACTACTTCATACAAATAGTTTTATCTTTTATGTAGCACCATTGGGTAATATTCTTTGATTTGGAAATATTCAAATGACTGTATAAAGATATCCCAGCCTTTGTATTCTCATGTAGAATAGTGTAGAATTTGATATTACAGTACTATGGCGATGTTAGATGAAAATACTTCCAAGAGTAAATATTTTTGTGGCCATCATACATATAATTCTTAATACTTGTGAGTCATAAGGATGATAGCTGTAAAATGGGCTTTGAACATCTGGTAAGTCAAATAGTAAATACAAACTGTCTAGAATTTAGCAGCTATCCAATAAAAGTTACTCTTCCGCCTCTGTGTCTCTGTTCCTATCTGTCTGTATCTCAAACACATAGACATAGATTGTACACACATTATATCCATAACATACACAATGCTTAACTCTTACCAATTGTTCCTGGGTCAACACGGATACCATCAAAACGGTCACAAAAGATTTCTTCGGAGGCTCTAAGGAGAATCAAGAGTCTTTGTTTTTTTTCTAATGGGTTTTCTAAAGTACCTGTTAAGAAAGTGAAGTATAGCATACAAGATAATTTGAAATGCAAAGAGAGAATCCAGAATAAATGCTGTGATACCTATTGTATGGGGAAGAGGCATTGGTCACATAAACGAAATGACAGCAGAAATGATGAGGTTGCACATCCCTCTCTGGAGACAGCTGGGTTACTATTCGTGAGTTATCTGCTACTTCTCATCATAGGCTCAGAGCATGCTTTAGTGACTCCTGTTGGCCAGGCTGATTTCATCAAGCGCTTTGGGGTAGTAAAGTTTGGATAGAAGGGGTAGTGACGGAAGTTATTGGCTGGCAGTGTAAATACTTGCCAAATAGTCCCCATCTCTCTTCCCTGTCATAGAATTCCTTGTATCCTTGGGTACCTAAATGAAGAGAAATTCAGGGATAAACCCAAGAAGACCATGAAGGCTGGAGCCCTGTTCAACCCAGTCCAATATGAATATTCATTTTAGAAAATCACTGAAATGCGAGGGTCATTTACTAAAATCCATCATTACAGCAAACCCTGTCTAATATGGTGACCAATTTTGCTTGAGTTACCACTTCCTTTACATGATTTTAGCACTTAATGTTCGCTACAAACCTGAAAAGCATGATTCTTGCTTCCGTTTAAATATCCACATATAAAGACCTTCTGGTACTTATTTAAATCCATCCAAGTAGCAGTATGTAACAGACTTCAAACAGTGGTGGTTTATAAAACCAGTAATAACTTGTTTTACATAAATTCTCTTCGCATCATTGGTATGTATAAAGCATATGACACTCAGTAGATGGAAATTGCTTCTGACATTCTCTTCAGTCGTGTTCTTCGCAGCATATAAATGTTCAGGGACTTGTTAACATGATATTCGTGAATATGGACCTAGGAAGTTATGCTATTCTTACAGAATCAATTGTTGAAGAAATAACCAGAAGAAAAGTCCTCCTTAAACCATATATTCTACAGGAGCAGGCTCACCAGTATCGTGTACTAACAAATAAGACTTCCCAGTTTACTAGTTTCCCGAAAATAAAAACAAAAATGGGACTGCCAGATATGATGTGGAATAAGTGATAAATTTAAAATTATATTTTCGTCATTTTTGTTACTCATTTCTTTCGGGCAGCATAAAAGTATTCCATACCCCAACTCCCACACCCCTGCTGGTACTTTTTATGCAGCTGGTGTAAGTTTGGGTTGGCTATATGCATATCTCCTCGGATCATCAACTCCCACCATTACAGTGTTGACAGCAAGATTCCTAGAAACAAATCAATCTGGACAGCACACAAGTCAAGAACAAGCATTGCAGCCCATGGCTTAGGTGTTTCTGCTCCAACACTAAGGCAAGCTCCTTTTCTGTACCACTACCACAGTGTCTTAACTAAAATAATGAAGGTATTCTCTTAGCCCAAATACAAGACCAAGAAGGAAGGAAGCAAAGGAGGAAAGCCGGGTGCAGCTCTTATCTTGCTGTTATGAGTCTGCCTGGTAAACTGTTTTCCAACTGTGATTTCATTTATTTCATGAAGGGTAAAGTCTTAAAGGAAAAAAAAAATAAGCCTAGCACTAAACAGATACCAGAGCAGAAAAGTAGGACACTTTTTGCCCTAGAGAAATGTATGCAGAGTCCCACAAAGAGTTGTGCGTTTCTCTAAAATCAGAGATTAAATCAATTATGCAACCCAAAACTACAGCACATGTGGAGCCTTCACAGAAAATCTGGGCAAAATTAGTCAGCCTGCCGTGATCTTTCGGAACCTGAAGCAACCAGAGTTTGGATTCTTTTTAAGATGGGAAAGGGAAAGGATGGAGGCTAGGACTACTCAGCAAGCAGTCAGGGGCAAGAGAAGGAAATGTGTGATGTTCTAACATTACAATAAGGTACTTCCTGGATTTCTAAAAGCTTGTGAAAGTGAAGCTCTCAGAGCTGCCATTCCTGGTTGTATTCTCAGTCTCACAGAGATGAGATGCTCTTTCCACATAGTCTTTATCAGTAAATAAGAGTAGCTAGCTCTGAGACAAGGTGCCCCAGATGAGGCATCTGGATCTAGGTTTACCTTTGTAAAGCTGCTTTGAAACCTGAAGTTTATCTATTGGGGAATGTTGCTGATACTTTCACATACACGCTTTCCTTACATTCTCACAGGTCTTCAGTGCACACTGTAGAGATTCCCATGAGGAAAGTGAGGCGAGAAGAGCCTAAGTAATGAGTCAGAAATTACATAGCTGTTATGCCGTGGTACTGGACTTAGGTTTAATAAATGCCATTCTAGGATGTGTGTGTGTGTGTGTGTGTGTGTGTGTGTGTGTGTGTGTGTGAGAGAGAGAGAGAGAGAGAGAGAGAGAGAGAGACTAAGGGAGAAGTAAGGCATAATTGTCATTACTTAGCATGATGGTGGGCAATGGAAGGGAAAGAGAATTGGTTCCAGATGTTAAAATCACCTGGGGAGATGGAAGAAAATAAGTTCTGGTATACCAAAGATAACCATTATTGATTTGAGGGATATGGTACAAATAGATTCCATGAATTTCAAAATGTAAGAAAAGGGGAAAGGGACTTTTATTACTTTATTAACTAAATCTTTTTTTATAGAATCAAGCATAAGCCTAGTTTACACTTAAGCATGTTCTATCAACCTGATTGCCCCCATCTTGGACTCAATAAATGTAATTTTTCAGATCTTTCTGTTTACACTCTGTTTTATTCTTTCAAATCTTTAATTTTCCGTCCCCACCTGACTCTATTCTAATTAATTTCTAAGAATCTACTATGTTTCTGACTCACAGTATATTAAAAATATTTGTATCTCTTGTTATATTTTAAGAAATTTGAACTAAAGATTCAGTATGCAATATAAACTAAGAGGAATAAATCCTCAAAGTTCTTCACCATGTTATTTATAAATAATGGCAAATATTTTAAATGCTTTGAAACAGCAAGCAAGGAGGAGAAGAAAAAAACACAAGGATCCTTTCTGTCTTGATCCCTGAAAAATAGTCAGCCCAGAAACAATGCTTGGCACTGAACTGATCACTCAGTAAAAGAAAAACATATAAAAGAAAAAAGAGGGGAAAGAGGACAATAAATGTATAAATAGGACTGGAAAGTCATCACAACAGGGGAATTACGTTCTTCTTAATTTTTAGTTATTTTTGTCTTCTTCATCCAGGATTGTTTTTCATGAAAGTGATTCCATATATTGCTTAAGGTGGATAGCTACTAACTTCTAGTATGTGTTATGCTTAATGAAACTTAGAGAAATGTTGGAGTGGGGCCTACCACCTCTCTCTTTTTCTCCCTTCCACACACACACACACACACACACACACACACACACACACCACAGACATACACAGATATGATGAATATAAATGTAATAACAAGCTTATAAAAGAAAAGTTAAGGCCAAAAGTTAAGTTGTTAAAGAATAGATTAAAAAAATGTTGAGGTTATTAAAAGTTACCATCTCTTAAGATATATATGCTGGCTGTACAGGTGGATTTGCAGTTAAGAATGCAAACAGCTTTTACAGAGGACCTGAGTTAGGTTCCCAACACCCATATCAGAGCTGACAGCTGCCTGTAACTCTAGCTCAAGTGCAGGGGCAGGAGGTATCTGAACTCTACAATACGTACACGTACAAACACACACACACACACACACACACACACACACACAATTAAAATGAAATATTTTTAAAGACTTATATAGTGGTTTTGTTGCTGCTGTTGCTTTACATAAGTAAAATTTTCTACTCATGATGTGTTTCTAAGCCACTATAATAATAATAGCTAGAACATAATGGTCAATTTTATTTCCTATTTTCTTTGTCTGCTATACTCTCCGCTCATGCTCATGTTCTAGAAAGACAAGCACTGAACAAATACTGTAACTGACTGGCATTCGTGGCACAACTTGGATCTCAAATTTACTTCCATTCTAACATTCTTTGATTCAGAAAGTCAGATGATATCTTTTGCCAGCATCCATTACCTCAAAATCTTAACCCCTAAGAACTAGAATCCCACACTGTTAGGATTTGGATCAAACAGCATCACAGAGCAGATATGCTCTGGCAGTGTGCTGTGCCAATGTCCACATCTATTAAGTTTGTTTACTAACTAGACATATTATCTCTCTCATGTTGGGATTTCTGTAGGTGTGGACAGATGGGTTGAAAGTCTTCCTTCAGGCATAACGCACATAGGATTGGGCAGATGGGTTCCAATAAGCAACCTTTAGGCCTGGAACACATGGATGAAAAAGAAAGAAAAAGATACACTATTATCTATTCATGGGTAAAAAATCAAAGTTAGGAGTTGACACAATTTTAAATTATCTAAAATGTCTAAAGCAAAACTGGAGAGTAGCACGGTGCCACTTTCTTTCAGAGTTTCAGATTTCAGATTTCAGTTCACAAGTTCTATGTTATAAGTGACCCCAGATGCCTAAAAAGAACAGCTATGGTCTAAGGTGATGGTTTCACATAGTTGCTTTGTTTGGTTGGTTTTGTTTGTTTTTTCTGGCACAAGCAGGGTCCATTTATTAAATATTTTCATCCATCTCCAGATCTTACTGTTTCCCACTTCTTTCCTAAGATTCCCTGCACTCTGTCCAAAGGTTGCCCATAACTCTCAGTATCTACATTGATAGTCTGCAGGGCAAAGCCTTTCAGAGGTCCTCTGTGTCAGGCTCTTGACTTGTTCCCTCTTTTCGCCTTCTTCTGATGGCCATCCTCTTTGCCTTTCTGGATAGGGATTGAGCATTTTAGCAAGAGTCCTCCCTCTTCATTAGTTTCTTTAGGTGTACAGATTTTAGTAGGTTTATCCTATATTATATGTCTATATGAGTGAGTATATACCGTGTGCATCCCTCTGCTTCTGGGAGAGCTCACTCAGGATGATCTTTTCCAGATCCCACCATTTACCTGCAAATTTCATGATTTCCTTGTTTTTTATTGCTGAGTAATATTCCATTGTGTAGATATACCACAATTTGTGCATCCATTCCCCCACTGAGGGGCATCTGGGCTGTTTCCAGCTTCTGGCTATTACAAATAAGGCTGCTACAAACATGATTGAGCAAATGTCCTTATTGTGTACTTGAGAATCTTTTGGATATATGCCTAGGAGTGGTATAGCTGGATCTTGAGGAAGTGCTATCCCTAGTTATCTGAGAAAGTGCCAGGTTGCTTTCCAGAGTGGTTGTACAAGATTACATTCCCACCAGCAGTGGAGGAGGTTTCCCTTTTCTCTACAACCTCTCTAGCTCTTGAACTCCATAAGGAGAGCAACAGAACCAAAAAATCTGAGCACAGGGGTCATTACTGAGACTGCTATTCCAAACAAGGACTATGCATGGAGATAACCTAAGACCCCTGTACAGATGTAGCCCATGGCAGTTCAGTATCCAAATGGGTTCCATTGTGATAAGAACAGGGACTGTCTCTGACATGAACTGATTGGCCTGCTCTTTAATTACCTCCCCCTGAGGGGGAAGCAGCATTACCAGGCCACTGAAGAGGACAAGGCAGCCACTCCTGATGAGACCTAATTGACTAGGATCAAAACGAAGGAAAAGAAGTCCTCCCCTATCAGTGGACTTGGGGAGGGTCATGCATGCAGAGGGTGGAGGAAGGGAGGGATTGGGACGGGAGGAGGAAGAGAACCACAGGGGGATACAATGTGAATAAAGTGTAATAAAGAAAAAAATATTTTCATCCATGATTAGATGTGGATTTTAAGAATGTTAAACAAATGGGACAGTAGTATTGAATGAAAATTAAAATATAAGAATACACAGTCATTTCCCAGTGGAGAAAGATGGGTGAAAATATCTAGTGAAGAAAAAGTTGTTAAAGCATTATATTTAGGTGCCCCAATACCTAAGGAAAAACAAAAGAAGCCTTATGCAATGTACAGTGGGAAACTCGGGATTTGAAGCATCACTTGGAGAAAGAGGAGGAATTACAGATGACAAGATCATTGCCAAGACTAGCAGCATGAAGTGGCTGGAAAAGTCAGTTGACTTATTGGCGCCACTGGTATGAGCATCATATCTGTTCTGATCCCTGGAAGCCAACTGTGCTGAGGTGCTTCTGTTGATGCCTACCTTCCTAAACTGCCATCTCTAATCTGTACAATGCCCCAGGCAGTGCTAGCCTATCAACACAGAACTGGCGAGTTCTCTCTGACTTCCAACCCTGGTGTGAAGAGACTGGTTAGAGTATTTATTCCTGTGAGACACTCTCATAGACCAGTTAAGTCCCAGCATGGCAACACTCACACATCTGTCTGATATCCATCTCCACACTTACGAGCCTGGATTCCAGGAACAACCATTCTCTCCACCTTTTACAGCAACTAATAGGCAGACTCTCTGGCTTTACTAGGCCTGAGGTGGGCACCATCCCAAACCTGTAATTGTGGAAAATAGTTAACTCACATAACTCTCAAGAAAGATGCCCAATTCATGCCATTGATTTGTATATACGCATACTGATAAAGCAACATAAAGTGTCTTTTATCAAACACCTAACATGAGACGGTGTGAGTAGCTGCCTCTAATTACTTAGGCATCTCATCCCGCTGTGGGAGAGTTCATCATTGTACATGTTACAGATGAGGAGATGGAAGTCTCCTGGTTTGTTTGTTTGTTTGTTTATATGTTTGTTTGTTTGTTTGTTTGTTTTTGCTTAAGGTCAAACTGCCAGTGTGAAGCTGTGGTGAGTTTGGCTTCATGAACTCTAAAGCAACAAAAGGGGATTGACAACACAGAGTGAGAAAGAAGAACCAGAAGTCACCATTATCCACGTCTAAAAATGTACTTGGAAACTCATCCCTAGTCTTGCAAACTCATGCTACCTTGTGTTCCCCACAATACCTTCTCCCGGAATTTGACTCTCATTACAATCCCAATCCCATCTCTGTGCATCTACTCACCTACTTTCAGCTCCCCTCCTGCTATGAGTAAGCATGCCACACTCAGAACATTGCTTCTGTCCACAGGGAAATCTAAGGTTCCCATCACGTAGAGGCCTCTGAGCGCTGGGAGCTCAATATCCACAACAACAGTCCTGTCTGCAGGAGACAAAAAGGTCGCTTAGATGGGCACCCAAAACAGGAGCCCCCATTCTCTCCTCTATGCTTCAGGATTCTGGCAACTCAGGAGCTCTTCCTGTTGTCACCTGAGTCAGGCCAGGTGCAGCAACCAGAACAAACACCTGTCTGAGGAAGCCTTATTTACAAATAGGAAAGACAGTGATTCATGGCTAGGAAATTTTGTCATCCTTAAGACAGCAAAGGCTATGTCCAAAAAGTTTTGGTGATGTCTTCAAACACAGCCCCGCCCCCATACAAACGCAATTTAGTACAAATTTAGTACATACAAATATGAACTCCCTATGCTTTGTACCTGTGTCCTTGCTTTACACTCTAGTCTCAGGGCACATAGAACAATACATAAGACCTTAGCCTTGAAAAAATGGACAATTTGGTTCTGAATCCCAGCTCTGCTACCTGCTAGAGGAGAGACCAATTTTATCTTTCTATGCCTCAATTATCATGTCTGTGAAATGGGAGTAAAAACAGCATCTTCTTTCCCCTAGGTCTTTTGTGAGTTAATAGATTAGGAAGTTTACACAACATGGTAAGCCACTTCTAACTTCCTCATTTCCTCAACATAATAGAAGTACATAGTATGTGCTCAGTAAGTGCATCACCCAATGTACAGATGTCCATTTGCTTAGCATGCTTATAGAGCTCATGAGTGGCTTCAAAGCATTATTCCCTTCCTCTCATAAAAGCCTTCTCTGTGTAACTTCAAGAGAAATAATCATAGATTTTTGCCTGAACTTAACAATAATGTATGAATAAAACATTTTCACTTAAAACAGTAAATATTTCATGTATGCTGAAGTATTAAGTGTTACTCTCTTCAACGTGAATTAAAGATGTCAAATAAATGTTTCTGCTTAAACTTCAAGTATCACAACCACTGGCAGGTGTACAGACTTTTTTAAAAAAGAAGCTCTTTTGCTAGTATAATCTCATTTCACATCCTAGGAAACAATGTACTGTGCCATTCTTAAGGATCTGACCAAGCAGATTAACTTGTCATGGGTTGTCTCGCATGTTTCTTTAGTTAGAAGACCAGCCATGCCCTCCTGTGGCAAAGACGATAAGGCGGCAAGCCAAATGGTTCTTTCTTCTTCCTGGGTTTAGTTTCAGACTCCAGTCTCTAGCTGTCTTTAGAGTAAAATGAAGCCATGTGACTGAGTTGTAGCCAATAATATGCAGGCATGCTTCCAGAATAACACTTTCAGTCCATACCCTCTTCTTATTCTCTCCTTCTCAATTTTTGCTGCTGAACTCAAGTAGTGAATCTCAACGAACCTCCTTGGCCCAGGATCAATAGCCCCACCCACTCCATAAGAAACAGTGCTGGGTTTTAACTGACAGTAAAGCACCCCTCACCTTCTCCTTAGAGATCACCGCCTCTGGAAAAACACCCCATCTCCTTCCTACTCCCAAGACACTGTCTAAATATTTAAGTCTGAAAACGAAGACGTGTTATCTGAGTTGCAGACACAGTCTGCATATTAGAAAGTCATCGCCACTGAGTGAGTCCTTCCTCTCATATTTTTAGAGGAAGACACTAATAATTTCTAAAAGAAAAGGACCGTGTTTATTATAATGTTAAAAATAAAAATCCTAAATAGGTGTTTCCAGCTCTGGAGAGTTTAGCCCTTACATACCTTCAGTTCAGGAGTCTATAACATTACTAACAAGTATAAGAGAACTGACTAGACAGAAAAATATATACATCTCGGACCCATCTCTGGCACTTTTCAAAACATTCAAAGAAAAGATTGGAATACCAAGAGAATGTCATTGTTTCATATATTTAAATGGTTCACATTTTTTAAATAAAAAGTTATTTAAAGCAAAGACCTCTAAAAGTTAAAGTTTTGTGCAAATGGTTACTGTGCATCCCAAACTGATAAACACACACACACACACACACACACACACACACACACACACACACACTTCTTTTGAATTGTCCTATCTATTCCAAATATCCCAACAAATTTCCCAGGAATCACACTCAGGTTAACTGCATGAAACTAGTATCTGACTTCTTCCCTCGTTATGTTTATCTTATCAGAATCTGAAACATAATCTAATGTACACTAGGTCTTCAGAATAATATCAAGTGTCACAAACATACAGAGAACCCAGCAGTGACTAGAGGGAAAAGCTGGGCTGTGGAGAGAAGCATTGCTGTTACTTCTTTGGGTGTTAGCTTTTGGCAAGAAGTTGGAAATGAAAGATGAGTGAGAGGTGTTTCTTACCATTACATGATACAGATTTACTAATAAAATAACGCCATAGACTTGAAGTGATGCTATACTTTAATTAAATGGATGTTAGTCTCACTTTGTATTTACAGCTACTTTTGATTGGAAAAATGTACAAATATACCTATTCTACTATAATGAAAAAAACATATCTCGTATAATGTTTTATAGTAAAGGGGTTCTCTTTTTATCACAATTGTAGAGACGAGAGTGACATGAACCATGGAATGCGCAATCCTTGCTAAATTTGTCTCCACAGAAGACAAGCTGCCAGGTCAAACTTTCATCAGATACAGAGAAAGCTTTTATCTTTTCATCCAGGTGTGAATTGAACCAACATGCCACATTCTCTACAAGTAGCATAGTTTCTGTGAAATTACTCAAAATCATGTCTAGCAGTCACTCATAAAAGCCTATACAATCCACTTAATAAATATAAGTGGTGGGCCACCTCTGTCTTAACTGAGCCCCGATACGCTCCACCCAGGACTGGCTGGATGTAGTTCTTCCATGCGATTCTGTCAATGACCAATCTATCCTACTTGAGAAAGTGAGCACTGGCATATGGAGGGAACCATCTGGAATTTCTGTTGCTCAATGGGAGGCTGATGGGGGAGCTGATCTGGAAAGAGCCTCTAAAAAGAAATAATGAATTCCAGATGTAATTAAAGACTGCCTTTCCCCCCAAAGGAGCTTAGGACCAACCATGGGGTGGTGTCTCTGGGTACCGAATCACACTCTTTTACCACTTGTTTATCCATCAAGTGCTAAACACCCACCATCATTATTCTAGTGTCTCTTGCCAAGCAATTTTTTTGTTTGATTTCTGAACATGTTCTATTTTGACAATCAGAAATATAAAGCTTTAAAAGAACTATCTGGAAACTTAAGTCTAAGGAGCATCTTTACGATCTCCCTGAGCACCAGAAAAATGAAATAAAACAAAGGAGATCCAGTCTTGTACAAATACATCATCCTCAAGAAGAGAAATCTGGAGACATGACCTGACTATTAAGACAGAGGACTAGGACTTCTTTCGGTACCAAGAGTTACTTGACTAATACAATCACAAAATATTCCATACAACTTCAACTCTAGATTTAAACTCAGTTTTACCCAGAAAAATCCAAGAATCAAAGTCACTATTTGGTAGCATTCCAAGTGTCTGACACTTGTCTAAATCTTGAAGAAATGAGATCAAGGTCAAAGGGCACAGATCTTGGGAACAATGATGGGTCACATGCACAGTCATGATGTAAGGGAGAGAGAAGCACTGTTTGTGTGGTAGGCACTGTGTCAGGCCCCATAACTTAGGTAGAGAGGACACTTTCCATTACAACTCTCCATTGTAGGGGAAGCAGCAAGAGCATGCAGAGCACAGCAGGACGCACAAGGACCATTTATTTGTAAGCTGTCATTTTCCCGCACCTTCCATAAGTAATGGGTTCATTTCTGCATCTAGAACCAGCTGTAATATTTTCCTATAAATACATGAACCAGGTGAAAAGTAAATTTTAACATCATTGGATCTCTAGTGTTACCCTTCAAAAGAAGAGGAGAGTATTTTTAGTATGTTACAGTTATTGGTAGTACTTCCCATCTTTTATGGCCTTGTTTAACTTCAAGGGAATAGACTATCATAATTTATAAATATAGCCAAGAACAATACTCCAAGAATAGTGAACCTTTTCATACATAAATAGTTTACAGGGATGAAAGGTTAGCATGACTGAAAATTAGTGTCAAGAAGACACATTACTGAAACAATGGCACTGGCTTCTCAACGGTTTCCTCCCTCATAGAAAAACTGAGCAGGATTCTGCTTGACAATAAGGATACATTCTCCCTGTAACTGCACTGCATTCAATGAGCTGCAAACTATAGTGCTTGCTTTTTTGTTTTTAAATCAAATCCACACAGGTGGTTTCTTTATTCTACCCTGACTATCGTCTTTTTTTCAAACTGGTCTTAAAAATAGGCAAAAGAAGCCATTTGTGAAGGGCCTGGAGGCACGATTCAAAAAAGAAAGGCAGGTTCCTCACACCTTGACAGAAAACCATCTGCCTGTGTGTGTGTGTGTGTGTGTGTGTGTGTGTGTGTGTGTGTGTGTGTAAAAGAAAGAAACAGAAAATCCAAGACAAAGGTAGAGAAACAAAGAGAGAAACGCAGAGACACAGAGAGATGCAGACAGCAAGGAGGGATATTAGGAAAGGGCAGATAATAGTCTTTTTTCATTTAACCTACCTTCTACATTCCCGATCCCGTCTCAAATTCACTCTGAATATCTTTTCCAGCCCTATACAGACATGCATAATTCCCACAGCAGAATCAACACTTTAAATTATGATATTTTAATTGATCAATAAAATGTTTAACATACAATGTTTGTCTCTTCCTCTAGTCTACACCATCTGTTCTACTAAAACAAAAAAAAAAAATATTGTGAATCTGTGTAATAGGAAGGGTTTTAAGTAAAATTACCAACAGTATCAGAGGGAGCCTCTGAACTCCAAATTCTGAAAATGCCAGAAATTGCCAGTGTTTTCTTGATAATGAGAGAAAAGGAAAGCCTGTTTCTTCTTCCTGGTTGTGCTGTGCTGATCCAGGGATGGCCCTTCTGGTTTTATGTCAGCCTGAAATTTTGCAAGAGCGAACCTCAACTGAGTAAAAGCTCCCATAAGATTGGCCTGTGGTACATTTTCTTGATTGATGAGTAAT